AGTGGGGGGATCTGGGGAAAGGGGGGACGGGACGATGCGCAGCCACATCTTTGCGGGGAGGGAAGGGGAGGGGGGGACCCTTCCCAGAAGGAGAAGAGGTCAAAGGGGCTAAGCTCATGCTCGCTGTCCCTCCAGGAAAGCTTTGCTAGCACCTAGGGTTGAGGAAGAAGGATCTTCCTGGCTGATGTTTTCAGGAGATCTGGGCAGCGAGCTTGTTTTGGAGGAACGCTGATAGTCCCGTTCCCAGTGGGGAAGAGAGGAGATCTGCAGAATGAGAAAAAAATGAGTGCCAACTTTCGGAGGAGAGGGATCGAGGCATGACTGGGTAGAGGGCTGCCCAGGAGGCACTGCAGGATTGCTCCTCAGCAAACAGAGCTTGGGATCTTCAGATTCTCACCAAATGAACTGGGCAAAGATCTTAAACTAGCAATACCCAGAAATGCCCCTCTGGCCCAGAGCCAAAGGGAACCAAACTTCCCCCGGTTCTAAGGGACCCAGCCTCATGACTGCTGGGAACAAGGAGGCGTTGCTCAGAGAATTCACCCATGTTTCTTCAAACTGCTTCCTGGGTTGATGAATCTCTTTGGCTGGGTCACAAAGCCTTGCTGGAACCTGGGTAGTGCTGGTGCCTTCAGTTCAGCTGTCCTTCTTGTTCCTGAGTGACCCAAGCCAGAAGTTGGACCTTGAACTAGGCTTCCCATGTTTGGATTCCGTTAGACAGTGCACAAGTCACTTGTGAAGTCCCCCCTGATTTTGGATGACCTAAGTTTCTGCAATATCATAGTTTACTTGCCATGTTCACAGGCACGTTCCTTTTCTCCTGTGGGCCTTCCTCTTTTTTGGAGTGATCAGTTCCAGTCCAGTCCCAAGAAAGCTTTTTGGGGAGATCAGATCCCCCGGTTATCCCAAGCCATATCCCAACAATAACATCAGCCGCTGGGATATCCACGTCCCAAAAGGCTATGTGGTGAAGCTGACCTTCAGATATTTTGACCTGGAGCCATCTGAGTCCTGCTTCTACGACTATGTTAAGGTATGTGCATAGATACCTGGGCCAAGAGGTGGCTGGAGATGGGAATCTAGTGGCCATCACATGCAATGGTTCTTCATTCACCGAGCCTCCTCTCATGCTTCCCACAAAGGAAAGAGAAGGAGTTAAAGATAGAAATGAGTGGAGCAGGTACTGGCAACACATGGCTGCGTAACAGTGATGCATGGAGCAGACTGAATCTTATGAGGCTACAGTGATTTCCCCTTCACCTTGACAGATCAAAGCAGACAAGAAGAACTTGGGCCGATACTGTGGCCAGCTTGGGTCAACCACAGGCAATCACCCAGGAAAAAAGCAGTTTGTGTCTAAGGGGAACAGGATGCACCTGGCGTTTCACTCTGATTTCTCCAATGAAGACAATGGCACAGTGATTCCTTACAGGGGCTTCCTGGCCTATTACCAAGCCGTGGGTGAGTAGGCAATACCCTCAGCACGCAGAAAGAAGCCCATGTGGCTCCCACCAATTTTCCTCCTTGTCAGGGAAATAAAGAGAAGTTGTAAGCAAGGATATGGATCTTTATGTACTTTCAGTGTACAGCAGAGAGGTTTAACACTTTTCTCCCCTTGTCCCTGCATCTCCTATGTCTTCAGATCTTGATGAATGTGACCCTAACAACGCTGCTGAGGAAGATGAAAGGCCTCAGTGCCAGCACTTCTGCCACAACTATGTGGGTGGCTACTTCTGTTCTTGCCGGACTGGCTACCAGCTTCAGAGTGACCACCACTCCTGCAAAGGTAAATTGAAATTTTGAAAGATTGGAGGGTTCCGGGGAAGGAGCCCCTCAGCTAGTAAAGGTGGGAGAAGTGACTTAGGGAGCAGTTGACAGGTCTGCAGAAGGCACAGCTCCACAATGTGACCTCTGCTTTCTTCCTCTACGCCAGTGGAGTGCAGCAGTGAGTTGTTCACAGAGGCATCTGGGTACCTGAGCAGCCCTGAGTACCCCCAGCCCTATCCTGAAGACCTCCGGTGTAACTACAGTATCCGTCTGCAAAAGGGCCTTTCTATCATCCTCAAGTTCTTGGAACCCTTTGAGATTGACGAACACCAGCAAGTCCACTGTCCTTATGACCAGCTCAAGGTACTGGAGATTAGCAAACTCAAACTCTACTTCCAACCCTGCTGACAGACCTGGACAAGAATTGTGGGGACACCACTGTTTGGATGAGAAATATGGGATCAGTACTAGGAGAATGCCCCAGCATGGAGGACTGAGCCCTTCCCTTGTCCCTCCCTCAGTGCACTTAATTACCATTGTCCTGAGGTCAGAGGCTCTGGGTTGCAGGCCCCTGTGAATGTAGCCAAAAAAATCGTCCTTCTTCCAGTTTTATCTCCCTATAATTTAATCTCAGGATTGGAAGGGTTTATAGCTCTGATTCCCGTGATAAGGGAGAAGCAGAGCTTGTGGTAGGTCAGCCCTTCCTTCTGATCTGTCAGTGCAGACATCAGCAAAGATGAGTCAGACAACCAGCCCTGTTCACCATCATAGGCACTGTGGCAAACTTGGTCTGGATTGAAATAGAGATACTGGGGCAGAGAGGCATGTGTGTTTCTGTCCCTGTGATACGTGTTTTCCCCATCAGATCCAAGCACGAGGGAGAGAGATTGGTGAATTCTGTGGCAAGGAGTCACCTGGCAGCATTGAAACCAACAGCAATGAGGTGGACATACTCTTCCTCACCGATGAGTCAGGGTTCAGCCGTGGCTGGAAGATCCACTACACCTCGGAGAGTAAGACATTTCTTCCCCAGAGGCTACTACAGCCTATCTACACCATTTGTTAATACCGACTTACTTTGTCCCATTCTCTAACAGAAATACGGTGCCCACAGCCTGTCCCACGGGATCCGTTTACCATCATCAGAGACCTGCAGCCTGTGTATCAATTTCAGGACTATTTCATTGTCAGCTGCAAGACTGGGTATAACCTGATGGAGGTGAGATCCCTTCTCCATTCCCTTCAGTCACATTCTGGCTTCTTTTCAGTTTGTTTAAGCCTTTCACCTTTCAGTAAAACTTTCTTTGGAGATTTCACTCATGGCAACCTCTTGCAATTTCTGTTTCTTCCTTGCTTCTATCAGCTTCCTTCCAGTGGTTTCTCCTTTCCTAGTGCCCTTCCTTATGCAGCTACTGTTTCACGAAGCCCTGGTAGAAGATGAGAGACTAAGATCCCAGGAAACATTGGTAAACAAGAATATTTCTTTGGAAGGATATGAAATCAGACTTGAAGCAGAAGTTATTACCTGCCTCCCTTGCCATCCTATTGCCAGGACTGGGTAGTGCCCCAGACTTGTCACGGTTTTATGGTTGCTGGTTGCTGATAGCTTGGCCTTCTATGAAGAATTTGTAGCCTGTGGCAAACACAGAATAGAGGGAAGGCAGCAAAGGGAGAGGACAGCAACTGGAACAGACTGGAGAGGGGCAACTATTGGACAGCAGTGAAAAGACGGGCAGATAGAATAATATTTTAATGTGGGGAAGGGAATGTAAGACACTCTACAACCAACAGAGATGTTTTTCTCTCCCATGCAGGGCAACCGAAGGCTGCTGTCCTTCACGGCTGTCTGCCAGGCTGATGGGACATGGCATCAATCCATGCCCCACTGTGAAAGTAAGTGAGCTGAGAACAGGGATTATGCTCCCTGCCGTGGCTTTCCCCCTTCAAGAACAAGGGGAGTTCAGCCTCTATGACTCAATTTGTCTGTGGCCATAGACTCATGGATATGCTTGTTGGAAGGACCTGTGGAGGTCCACTGTTGACTTTCGTTACATTTTTCCACTTGCAAAAACTTAAGTGTTTTTCCTCCCTTACAAAAATGCATAAAATATCACTAAAAATTTGCTATCACGTTATAAAATCTAAAAGCAGAAGATCCTGGTCTAGGATCCATCTTGGAACAGCCTCTCTCTGCCCATTGTACTAACTGATCCTTCACATCATGGCCACAAAGTTGAGCCTAAACCTGCAGGTATTAAGGCTGTCTTTGATTAATCTCTTTGGTTTTTTTTTTTTCTTTTTTGTAGTTGTGAACTGTGGCAACCCTACAGACCTGACCAATGGGGCATTCAGCTATGTTAACAAACCTGCAAACAACAACTACCAGTCAGTGATCACATACCGATGCAATGAGCCATATTATCACATTGTCACCCGAACAGGCGGTGGTGAGTCCTAATCCCACACAGACATTGAAATCTGTCCATGAAAGGCCCTCTCAGATTTCCAGTTAGAATTGTCTCTGCTCCCCAGGCTCAGGGCTCATGCTTTCCTCCTGTGAAGGCTCTCCAATCTTTCCTTGGCTCTGCAGCACAGCTCCTGAGGCTTGTTGTCTCAGCCTATCCCCACCCTGCTTCATGCCCGGAGACCATCGCATCCCTCCTCCACGCTCCCCTTACCTTTTGCAGAAGGTCTTATTCTCTCATCTGTAGTCATGATTTATTCTTCTCTAGTAGATTTCATTCTTTCACTGAAATTTGAGGCATGGTGTCTGGGAATCACCAAAATTCTGAAACCTCACCATACCAGTCCGAGTTGTTACAGATGCATATAAATAAACTCACACTCCACTCCTCTGTAATGCTGTTTACCTCTTTGGAATATTGTTCAGCAGCAGAGACATCTAAGGGCTACATAACATACATACAGAAAAATCTATTTTTATGCAGCAGGTCGGAAAAATTAAGGCAACATTCAAAACCATTCACATGCATTCTTTTTGCACCTGAGACATGATTTGATGACACAGGAGCTTTGGTAACAAGAACAGTATAAGGAGTTCATAATTTCCTTGCCTTGGCTGCTCATTTAGTCTCCACAAAAAGATGAAGATTTTTAAGCTGAATCAGTTCCTGGATGTGGTTGCCAACAGGGACTCACAGTTGTGCAGCATGCCCGAGAGAGGTGACACGCGAACACTGGGGCCAGGAGCAAGCAGCTAAGGAGTTCTTTAACTTGGTACGAACGTTGAATTTGATTATTCTTGCATCTGAGTTTAACTCCTTCATAAAAAGTCAGAGCTCAATCAGGAGCAAATAAATGTCAGCACGAGCCAGATTCTGATGGGGAGTCATTGTGATTTAATCAATTTTGAAAGAGAACAGCAAACACTTTCTTGGAAGCATTTACTACAGTGTAAGGTATATTGTATATAAATTATTTTTAGTCACCAGCACAAACTTTCTAAGAAAAGCAAGAATGTTGGCAGTAGTGGAGTTTCTGTTGAGAGGTGACATGTGAGTTAGCTGACCTGCAATGTAGCCTCAGAAATAGATAACGAGCATGTACAGTAACTGACTCATCTTCTTCCTGTTTCTGGAACAAACCACCTTGTCCTACTCTCTGCAAACTACAGAGACCAGAAACTTGAATCTAAAATCCATGACTTTACTTCTTCTCTCCTTTCTTTGGACTAAATAAGGTCAAACAGAGCTCTGTGGCCCGAGTTAAGACTTCACTCAGAGGGCTCTTCAGGCTTTTCCTCTACAGAAGCAGTGCCTGAGCTTTACTGGTCCCCTGGAATGGAGGTGGTTTGAGATGTACATGCTATCCCAAATGGAGACATTCCAGACTGTACTACCGTCGGATTTTCCTGGAAAAAAAGGGTTGGAAGGGCTGAGTGCAGCACATGGGACACCTTGAGAGAGGAACTCCTTGAAAATATTTATTCTATTCTAGTCTATTCTATTCTACTCTACTTTTTATATTCGGTTCTATGCGGTTCTATTCTATTCTATTCTATTCTATTCTTCCCACCCCATGCCTGTAGGCCTGGGTCTCATTCACTTCCCTCTCATCCTACAGACAGATTCACCTGCTCTCCTGAGGGAACCTGGGTGGATCAAGTGGGCCAGGCGAGGATTCCTGCCTGTTTGCCAGGTCAGTAAAAAACTCCAACTTTGGTGTTTACCGATTCTTGCTTACAGTCGGTACAAAGCCAGGACAACATGCAGGGAGGGGAGTGAGGATAATGGTATCAATGAGGGAGGACAGGAAAATCTATCCAGGAAGGCAAAAATAAGGTGAAATCAATCGGTGATGGTGCAGGAAAGAGAGACGCAAGCCAGGGTAACAGAGAGTGTTGTGATCTCCTTGCATTTCTCCACAGTGTGTGGGAAGCCGGTCAACCCCGTCGCTGAAGTCCAGCGGATCTTGGGCGGCAAGTCAGCAAGGAGTGGCAGTTTCCCTTGGCAGGCTCTGACTGGCATCCATGGACGAGGCGGTGGTGCGCTCCTGGGCGATCGCTGGATCCTGACTGCTGCCCACACCATCTTCCCCAAAGGGGCAGGAGGGAACAACATAAGCCTCGACCAGCTAGCAGAGGAGGCTGATGTTTTCCTCGGCCACACCAAGGTAGAAGAGCTCCACAAGCTGGGTAACCACCCTGTACGTAGGATCTTTATCCATCCAGATTACAACCCTGAAGATGAGTACAACTTCAATGGGGACATAGCCCTGCTGGAGCTGAAACACCCAGTAACCTTGGGCCCTACAGTACTGCCCATCTGTCTCCCAGATACTAGCAACACCACGTTCTACACGGATGGGCACATGGGCTATGTGAGTGGCTTTGGTGTGGAAAAAAACTTTATTTCAAATCATTTGAAGTATGTGAGCCTACCAGCGGTTGCTCAAGAGAAGTGTCAGAGTTGGCTGGACAGTAAGAAAAGAGAGATATCTATGGTTTTCTCTGAGAACATGTTCTGTGCTGGCTTCCTCACAGTCAAACAGGATACCTGCCAGGGGGATAGTGGGAGTGCCTTCACCGTGTTAGACACAAACAGTGGTCGCTGGGTGGCTACCGGTATTGTTTCTTGGGGTATTGGCTGTGGCAAAGGTTATGGCTTCTACACCAAGGTCCTCAACTATTTGGACTGGATCAAAGGGATAATAAGGGAGGATAGGCTCTAGATGTTGCTGTCCTACTAGCTGAAGAATCACTGATAGCATATAAATTTCCAGACACAGCAAATCATATCTAATGCTTTTGATGATGTCCCAAAGGCTTTTCAAACACACAGACCATGTAACCTTCACCATAAGCGCTTCTGAAAGCCACCATACTATTCGATGAATTCATGGTGGTACCATGAAAACTTACCTGAGCTGCTGTACCATTAGCAGCTTGTGGGATGCCTTTGTGGACATTCTAGTTCTTCCAAATCTTATTACTGGATGAAGCCTTAATAATATCAGGAAATCTCATGACAGCAAACATGTTATTGTTTGAAGTGCTGACGATATCATCAGACTACTGCAGTCTATTTTTGTACTCTATTGTGTGGGAAGGTTGCAGGGCAGCAGACTTTCTTGAAGGATATGGTACTTTGTGCTGAGTATAATGTGCATATGCCCATTGGCATCAGTGAGATTCTATGAATATTAAAATAATTGCTGGAGAAACCAGGTGTGTTATGTTTTTCTGTCTTTGTTTTTAACAGCTACTAAACACTCCCCATCACTGAAAGCAGCTTACAGACTTTATATAGGGATTGCTTTACCTACCACTAAAGTGTTTCCAGTTCTGCAATGGCATGTGGCAGTTGCTCACCTGTCACAAAACTACCATTAGATTACTCAGTCTGAAACTCCAGGTGGCTTCGAGGGAGGCAAAAATAAGTTGTCTGTGTGACATCACAGCCAAAAGACAGGGAAGATAACAGCCAATCTCATGGAGAAAAAAGCCCAGGAACCTTTACGGATCAGAATTTGAGGATGGATTTTTTTGTAGTGTATGAAATAAAGCTCTGACTGCAGGACAGCAGCTCTAAAATGATGCTGATTCAGAGATAAGATGACCCCTCCTGTGTTACGGGTATTCTCTGGAGTTGTCTCTTGATTAGTTTTGCTACTGCAGAACAACCTACCTTTTTCTTGCGAGTCACTGAGCGAACTGATGTCTGCAAGAACTTGACAGGGGAAGTCTGGGGGTAAGGTCATAGTTGCCTTCTTGCACTGTTTTCTGTGAGATCCAGCTCCAGATCTTCTCAAGGGTCAGTATCTTTCATTTGCTTTTGAGATAATATACCCTGGGGAGTGATCTGTGAAACTGCACATCTGACGTAAGTTCATCCATGGTCTCCAGGGGTCAGAATTCTGTTGATTCTTCTCATTTGTATGAAGGAGAGGAGAGCATGAGAGGCAACAAAAGCACGGAAAAAACAAGGTGTCCAGTTGTACGGGAGCAATGGATAAACCCTGGTCTGGGGGAGGAAAGGGGGAATGAGGCATATGCAACTGGGGGGGTATTCCAGGTGAAGAACAGGGAAATTCTGGGATGCTCAGTGAGTACAGGTGACAAGAACAACAAAATACCCAACTCTTCAGCTCTTGTAAAAATTGGGAAAAATTACTGAGAAGCCATCTTAAAGAACCACCTGCTTTGCAGGAGACTAGGAAAATTTGGGAAGCTGAGGCATGGAGAATAGATGATTTGCCCAAAATCCCTACAGGAATCTGTGACCCTCATAGGAATAGCAGTCCCAGCTAAATAAGAATCTTTCCAGTCTCCTGCTCCTGGACCATTCAGCCACATCTCTGTGTCTCTTCTCCTCTGCTGTCCTGAATTGATTTCAGCAGTTTGTCTTCCTGTCCTTATCCAGAAAGACTGGAGTTAATCAGTGAGCTAGTGAGTAATCATGCGACACTGCTTGCCTAAGTGGCTTTGTGGTTACAGAAGCTGAGGAAATGTCTTACCTTAGTTTGAAGGTCACTTTTTCAGAACTTAAAATGGATTAATTTTCCCCAAATTGTACTTTGTTGAGCTATTTCTACTGCTGAAGTACCCATCACATTCCAAAGCAGAAGATTGCTAGTAGCCAGACTTAGCAGTCTGTAAGATTTCCAGTGGCTTTTGCTCATGATTACCCCAGATGTTTGGGCATGTCTGTATGATTTATGAAATTCCAATACATACTGTGAAGTTATAAAATATTGTTACAATGGCACCACTGCATCATTATTGTTTCTTTGCCAGTACCTAGTCAACTTTTTTGCACAAGAGGAACATGGGCTAAGATTGCAGCCTGAACTAGTTACCAGGGAGGGACACTTCTGTTTTGCGCTCCAAAAGACGAAAGCTGAGATGAGCCCACCTACTTAGCAACAAGAAGGAATGACTATAAAACTTCATATGAGATTAAAGTTGGCACATACAGATATAAAAGTAGAAAGCATTCAACATCCTGTGGGTCACAGTTCCTCAGGAATGTAGTATAAGATCCTTGATTACTAGACCAACAAGAAATTAACCTTTTGCTTGTTACACAAAATTGAAGGTGTGTGAGCTGAGTGCAGGAATCTATATGAAATCTCCCAAGACCTGCACACATCCTCCTCACCATTTCCTAGGCTCTCAGGAAAACTTAGGCTGGGAAAGGAGGTCTCTAGTCCAATCCACTGCTGACAGCAGGACTAACTTCAGAGCTTCAGGGCCTTGCCTGGGCAAGTTATGAAGATGTCCAGGGAGAGAGATTCCCCAGTCTTTTATGGCACTTGTTCCAGTGCTGACCCACACCCCGGGAAAAAGCCCAACTGGAAATTCCCTTATTGCAATTCATGTCTGTTGTCTCTTGTCCTGTTACTGTTCACCTTTCTGAAGAGTTTTGCTCTGTGTACTCTCTAGCCCTCCTTTAGGTATCTGAATACAGCTGTTAGATCCCTCTCTTAGCTTCCTCCTTTTCAAACTGAACAAACCCAGCTTCCTCCGTCTTTCATCATACGATATCTGGACCAGTTTCCTGACCATCTTAGTGGAAGGATATCTGTGAGTGATATAGGACTTTCTGGAGCAGAAGATACGCCTAACGTATATCAGGTAATCTCCCACAACACCACCTTCCCTAAATCAAGCAAGCTTTATTTCTTATCTAACACAATAAAGTCTGAAAAATAAAACCCTGAGGACAGGTGAATGAAAGGATTTTGAAGATGTCTCTTCTGCTCAGCTTGATTCAGAAGTCTGAAGTCCTCATTGCTGTTAATGGTTGGTCAATAAGACGCAACCATCTCAGAAGAACTTCATAAAGGCTCCCAGGCAGAGAGGAGAGGTAGCACAAGTTGCAGCTTGACAAAAGCTGGCAGCGTAGTGGGTCAAAATGTGACTATACAGTTGATTTAGGGAGTTTCAAGGAGAACAAGGTCTAGACTGAGAAGAAAGACAATACACACCAATAGCACATTGCACAAAAGACAATTTGGACATTCTTTAATGCTGTTAGATATTCTGAACAATACAGGAAATACATAAATCAGAAAGCAGGCTCTGAACCTACCCTAGGAACCAACAATTATTCTCTCCTGTCTTCATTGAAATCTCCCTGCCAGGTGGGACATGGCTAGATCTTCTGTAAGTGGGAAAAAAATGGAATAGAAAAAAATGAGAGGAAGCAGAAGGGGCCTCTTTATCCAGAATAGCATCTTCTTCTTATGCTACTATGACTGGAAGAAAGAGAATTTCCCTTCCCAGACACCATAACAGTGGGAGAAACAGATACATAATCCTGACTCCGCACTCAGCATAGACACAATGAGTAGGGCCCGTTCGTTATATACATAGAGCAAACAGGATCACAGCCAGCCTGAACACGTAACCATCACATTTAGAAAGGGTGACTGTGCTGAAAGGAGAAACAGCTAATCCTGCCAATCTTCTGCATCCTCATGCTTGCTCATGGTCTCTGTAATCCAGTCCAAATAACGCACTACCTTGGTGTAAAGACCAAAGGTACCACATTTTGGTCCCCAGGAGATCAGCCCGGCCACGTAGTACCGTCTGTCATCAAGAGGATCTTGGATGGCGTAGGCTCCACCACTATCCCCCTTACAGCTGTCCTTGTCACCACCAGCACAGATCATATTGTCAGTGAATCGGTAAGCACTGGAATCAGCAGAGCCCTCTGGTTTCACAGATCGGCACTTATCCATGTCCACCACGGGAATCTGGGCCTTCCAAAGATAAATAGGCAGTCTTCCTTTCTCTCTCTGGCCCCAGCCAGCAATGTAGCCCAGAGTCCCTTCTTGCAGCTCATACTCAGGTGATTTACCAGGAAGACAGAGGGGTGAGATGTTTGGGCCCATCTTCACAGGATCCCTCAGCTTCAGTAGTGCAATATCGTTATCAAAATCGGTCCTGCTTTCTACGGGCTGCTTCTTCCAATCAGGATGGATGAATGAAGCTTCTGGGATAAGCTGCTTGGCTTCTCGGTACAGAGATTCTCTACCAACATTGATTACCCCAGCATACATGTTGGGCTTGTTGTATCCCTCCAGCACATGAGCTGCAGTCATTACCCATCTTTCAGAGATGAGTACACCACCTCCTCTTGGGTAATCAAAATACACCTGCCAGGGAAAGTTGCCCTTTTCTGCAAGGGTGCCTCCAAAAATCTTTGCTTTCTCTTGGATGGGATTACTAGGCACCCCACAGACTGGAAAGAAAAGAAAAAAAATTAGTAGTTACGAATAGGGGGTTCTTTGGTACTGCTAAAAAGCCCATAGTCCCCTCCTTCCTGTGTCCTCTAAATAATTTTTGATTCTGAGTAACCGATGTTTATATTCTATGTCATAGAGTTTGCAACTAGTATTTACAGAGAAATTCAGGAAAATTCAAGCAAATCTACTATCAACATGCAATTTAGGCTGAAAATATTAATTCTCAAATTCTTGTTCTGGAAAGCAGTTGTCACCCCGTCAGTGTTGGATATGTCAAAGCTCATAATTTAATTGCATTCTAGTTACCATTTTTCCTTTGCTGAATTATATCCTGTAAGTGAAGGGATTGTCTTTGAAAAAAAAAATTTGTTTGAGTTCTTAGAAATATGACACTGCTTTTTAATTTTATTTTTTTTTTTGGTGAACTCCAGATAGTCTCAGGTTAAATGTTCAGGTTTGTCACTGATGTTTTACCATTT